CAGATACACCAGAGACCAGCTGTCCACAAACACCCTGCCTCCCAGATACACCAGAGCAACTGTCCACAAACACCCTGCCTCCCAAAGCTGTCTTTCTAGCTCCCATCCTAGCAAATGGTGTCACTAGCCACCCAAGGCCATACGTAAATAAGTTACTAGGCCTGGGACTACAGGGCCAGAATCCCTTACTCAGGAGGCTGGGCAAAGGATTCTAACATGAAGGCTTCCCTGAGCTTTATAAAATGAGCTCAAAGCCTGTGCAACCTAACCTAACCTGTTTCAAAATAAAGGTGGAGCTATAGCTCAATTGGTAGAGTGCTTGCCTAGCATAGGAAGACCTGTGTTCAATCACTAGTACTCAAAACAAAACCATGGATTCCTTGAGCTCATGAGTTCAAGACCAGTCTGGGCAACATAGCTAGACCCTGTTTCAGAAAGAGGAAAGGAAGGGAGGAAGGGCGGTTGTTCTTACGCCCTTTCTCCCCTCCCCCTTCACCCCCAGTCAGACAGCCTGTCAGATCTACCCCAATGTATCTCCTCCTCATGAATCTCGATCATGACCCTTTTCACAGCCAGGGCTCCACCTTCTTACATTTCCTCTAATACAGACTTTCACATCTGCCTAGACAGCTTGGCATTGCCCAAGATTTCTCCTCGTGATCTCACTGGGCCATCAGGCTGATAACTGTACTGGTGAGAAAACTGAGACCAAGTAGGTGATCAAGGCCGTGGTCTAGCCCCGACTCATCTCCTTAATCACCACTCCTCCATTTCACATTTTAGTATGTCCAACTTTCTGTATTTCTTTAAGCACAAACTAATTTTCCTGTATAGGCCTATCCAAATTCCCTTTGTCCTCTCGGACTTATCTTTCCTTTTTTCTAGATGATTTCTACTCTACCTCCTCTAGTCTCCCCTGGCCCTGCTCCTGTGGGCTCCATCTGAGTCTTGAGCTGCTCTGCTGTTGGCTGGCTATTGGCTTGGCTTCTCTCTCTTAGCCTGACTCCACGAGACTAGAGGAGCTCTTGGGGACTAGCCATAGTAAGTGCTCAATAAATAACAGTTGGCTAGAGGAATGAAAGATGAGATGAGATTGTCTGGCCACTCAGGGTTTCTGCCCCTCTCTCCACATCTGTCAGGCTCTGGCCTTTGACCTGGAGTCCTGTGCTTCCTTTGAGTTACATTTAGCTCATTTTGCAAGGCAAAGGTTTGAGGACTCTTCTCTTGGCCAAGTCTGTGTGTGTGTGACAGGTGAGCTGAAGCCCTGTTCCCTTCAGACGTGCATGCACCAGAGAGGGGGCCACCCAAGCTGCACGGGGAGGGGACTTACATCCGGGTCACGCAGAGATGGCATTCATTTCTATATGTCACCCCGTCCGTGCCGCAGATCGGTTTAGGTGTCTGGGGACACTTTGGAGACTCTGCCATGTGCTCACAGATGGGCTGTGGGGAAAAAAACAAACAGAAGTATTGGGGGAATTCAGAGGCAGTGGTCGGGCCCAGGGGCTCTGCTTGGAACATGCAATCAACTACTCAGGACTCCATGGTGTGTTTGCCTGTGTGTGTGCATGTGGCTGGATGTGTACATAAGTTGGAGCCTATGTCTGTTGAGCCCTGGTTTGTGACATCCTGCCTATTCTTGTGTGTGTGTGTGTGTGTGTGTGTGTGTGTGTGTGTGTGTGTGTGTGTGAAGTTTGTGTCCTTAAGTGCCTGGGGACTGGTTTATATACTCTTCAGTAGATGTAACAAGAAATTCTGCTGCTGTCCAATTGTGAGTCCAGTAAACAGCCATCCATCATTCCTAGGGAATGTCTCACACCGTAGGGGCTCCTGTACTTACCAAGGCCAATATGGTCTTTTTTGTGTACCTGGGAGGGGGCTACATGCATGCATGTATGCAGAGGCCATTGAACATTGGATGTCATTCCATAGGACCCATTTCTCTTATTTACTTGGGACAGGTTCTCTCATGACCTAGAACTCACCAAGGAGGCCAGGACAGCTGCCCAGCAAGCCCTAGGGATGTTCCTATCTCTGCTTCACAAGTGCTAGGATTGTATGGGTGCCAGGGATCGAACCTGGGTCTTCGCATTTGCAAGGCAAGCAGTTACTGACTGAGCTCTCCTACCCCTTACGTGGTCGTCAAGGCCCTTGGAAGGCTGGAGAAATGGCGCAAGGCTTACAGTTTAACTAGTCCCGGACTGGAAGGTTCTCGGGCTGAGAGAGAACTGGCAGGACTGGGGTTGGACCTGGGTGAAGGGGGTGCTGAGGGGGCAGTGTGGGTGGCAGTAAACATCCTGCTCTACACGGGGGGGGGGGGGGGCAGAAGCTCACGTAGATCAGCGCAGCCAGATACAAACCAGCCTGTGCTACACGAGGCCCAACGGAACAGAACGGGACAGCTGAAGTCTACACCCTGAAGACCCCAGTTCAGCCACTGACTGGCTTTGTAAACTTAGGTGGGCTTGTTCCATGCTCAGGGCCTCCGTTTCCTCCTCAGTGAAAATGGTCGGTAATGGTGTCCTTCTCAACACGGGAGTAGCTGAAGTCATGTATACAAAGTATTTGGCTCTGTGGCATGAAATAAGTGGGGCTGGGTTCTGAGGGGCTAATGAATAGGGAAGAAGCTGCTTGGGGAGGTGGCTCTGAGGACCCCACAGAGGTCCTGTCACTGAGGGTCTGAGATCCCAGGTGGAGTCAGGCAGGGCAGCCTGGTGTTTGCTGGAGTGAAGGGGTGAGTGATGAGACGTGTTTCAGAAAGGTCAACATGCTCCACAGATCCCCTCAGTGTGCTGGGTCACCTCCTTGGCCTGGAACCTCTGGCCTGTCTTGTCCTCACACAGTGCAGCAGGTGCAGTGTCCTACTGTGCTGGGTGGGGAGTGCCCACCGAGGAAAGGACCTTGGAGACCAGATTTGGGGCAGAGCCTGGGGGCTGAGGTCAGGCTCGGAACTTGGGCCTGCTCAGTCCGGAGGAGGTATCCTGAGGAAAATGCAGGTTCAGGAGGCCACCTTGGCCACCACAGAAGGTGTCGGCAGAAGGGAGGCTGTATAGAGTGGATGAGCAGACTCCTGCAGAGGAATGGCCTTACCATTTTTGGGGAAATTCTCCTCTGTGCTCCCACCTGCACCCCTGAAACACAAAACAAGCTGCTGTCAGCGCTGGCTGCCAGGTCAGGGTCTGAGGACCCCTCTTCCCATCCTGGGGCACCTGGCCTGGCCACTGCCAATCTGGATTTCTTGAGGACAGGTAGTCATAAATGGTGGGGCTGCCAGAAGGCTGGCATCATGCTGGGTTACATGAATAAAGACAGAATTTAGGGGGTGACAACCCAACCTACCCAACCTACTTCTAATTACTCAGATCCCAGTGGAATGTTTGTGTTCCATCAAATAATAATATGAAGAAATGAGCCGTTAGCGATGTGCCAGACCTTGAGACACGGTTCTTGGTGCTCTCTACACCCCTCACCACCCTAACAGAAAGAGTGCAGGTAGTAATGCTGTAGCTGTTGCCCAGAGCCCAGCGCAGGACTGAGGTACCAGCCCCAGCTGCCGGAGTGCTGGCTTTTCACAACCAGTCCCTTAGGAATCACCCTTGGGGGCTGGAGCTGCCTCAGCCAGCCTTGCCTCCCGCGCCACGGACATCCCCTAACAATGGTGTGGCTGCAAGGGCTCAGCTCTCATGCCACCCCGCTCCCCAGCTTCCTGCAGGGCCACCTGACACGGGTTACACCCAGCCAGCTTCCTTGCTCCCATGGGTAGCGCTCCCACACTTCCCAGTGAAGGCGTGCATGCAGACTCCGGGCTGTCTGCTGGAACACTTGACTGGCCTACGAAAGGCTCGGAGCTCCAATGACATGGCTGGGTAAGGCAGAGCTAGGATTTACATACAGGTTGGCCACCCCAAGCCCGACTCCCAGTTGTAGCCCTCAAGGTTTGCCTGAGTTACTTATAGGACATGAGCAAAGCGGTGTGACCGTGGGCATGGCCGGTGGGCATGAGAACTGGAGCCACGGTTAAGGCACAGGGCGGGAAGGAGTGGTTCTGAGGGCTGGAGAAGGGACAGGTGCTTCCAGAAGCCTCTGAAGGGCTGGCAGGGCCTGGTGGAGGGATGGGCTCTTCCCACGCTCACACAGAGGAGCCTGTCAGTGCAAGAGGCTGCAGGGAGGGGGACTAGATGTTCCGTACGGAGCAGAAAGCTGTGGTACCATAAAGGGACCTGTCTCTAGCTCCTGAGTTCCACATCTACTGCAAAGTTTTTTCTTGGAGATTTCCCAGACAGAGAGAAAAGGGGCTAAAAGCAAGTCACCTCCAGTGTGTTCTGCCGGTCTGGCAATGGAGGATCAAACTGTAAATCTAACCTTGTCACCACAGTGCTCGAGAGTCTTCTATGCCATCCCTGTCATAACTAAGAATGACCTAAGTGTCCTCCCACAGGAGAGCAGATAAAGTGGGAAACTTGTATACAGTGGAGCATTACTCAGCAAGAAAACAAGCACACCCAAGAGGCAGATCCGGAGGATTACCACAAGTCTGAGGTCAGCCTGACCTCCGTGAGTCCCATGTCATCCTGACTGCAGAGGACCTGTCTCGAACAACACACAAATACACAGCAGAAAAGCAACGAATGCCTGTGGTGTGTGTGTGTTAACTACTTTTTGTTGCTGTGATAAAACATCACGACCAAAAGCAACTTCTAAAAGAATTTATTTTGCCTTATGGTTCCAATAGGATAAGAGTCCATCATGGTCAGGAAACATGGCGGCCATCTATATGGATGGGGGCTGGAGCAGAAGCCAAGAGTTCACATCCTCAACCATGGGAACAAAGACTGTAAACACTCAAACTCACCCCTACCAAGGCTCCACCTCACAAAGGTTCCACAACTTCCCAAACAGCACCCTGGGTGGGGAGCAGTGTTCAAATGCCTGAGCTTGTGGGGGACATTCCCGTTCAAACCACCATAGTGAGAATACCTGTAATCCCAGTACTCAAAGAGGTTGAGGCAGGGGGATCAGGAATTAGAGGGCAGCCTAGAATACATAAAGAGGCCCTGTCTGACAAATCAGAAAACGGCTGGAGAGACGGCTCGGAGCATATACTACTCTAGCAAAGGACCTGAGTTCTGATCCCGGCACCCGTGTTGAACGTCTCACAACTGCCTGGAACTCCAGCTCCAGGGGATTCAGTACCCTTTTCTGGCCTCTCTAGGAACCTACACTCACATTTACCTACCCCCCAAACAAACACACATGCATATACATAATTTTAAAAAGGGAAATCTTTTTAAAGCTGGTAACAGGAAACAATGAAAGCACCTGATAGACACGTTGAGGCTAAACTGCAAAAATACTTAGCTGAGCTAAGGAACAGGTGCAAAAGACTCCACGGACGCCTAGAACAGATCAGCCATGCAGAGATCTCTGTGATGCGGAGATCTCTGTGATGCGGAGAAGGCAGGTCAGGGTGACAGGTGTGCATGATTGCCTCTGAGCACTGAGCAGTACTGCTGTCTCCGAGACAAGGAAGGGCCAGGATGGACTACAGGAGAGACATTTCTGTATCTTGTTTGGTTGTTGAGACAAGGTCTTGCCATGTAGCCTTGACTGGCCTAGAACTTGCCACGTAGATCAGGCTGGCCGCAAACTCATGTTCACCTGCTTCTACCTCAAGTCCCAGGATTACAGGAGTGGACCACCTCACCCAGCTGCGTTCTGTATCTCGGTAGGGTTTGGGACACAGGTGTGTGCACTGTCACAGCCCATCCATAAGATTTACTGAGTAGTGCTCGCTTCAGCAGCACATATACTAAAATTGGAACGATACAGAGAAGATTAGCATGGCCCCTGCACAAGGATGACACGCAAATTCATGAAGCGGTCCATATTTTTAAGCTGGACAGAGGTGCCGCCTCGAGATTTGTCAAAAAACACGCTCTGGGAACCAAAACGGAAAAACACACCAAACGTTGCTAATAAAGGAAAGAGTAAACATTAAAAAAAAAAAAAAAAAAAAAAAAAAGATTTACTGAGTAAAAATACTGTATGTTTCATGGCCTTATAGAAAAGCATTTACAAAGGCTGAGTGTGATGGTAGAGGCCTGTAACCCCAGCACTTAGGAGGTTGAGGCAGAAGGATCAAAAGTTCAAGGACAGACTGAACCATATAACAAAACAAAAACTCCAAACATTGAAAAGGCAGAGCGACCTTCCCCGGCTCCCATCACTGTCCAGTCTCTCTCCGGACCAGCATTCCATAGCCACATGTGTGAACTGACACCAGCCTCACTCCTTACTACTAATACATCCTCCACGGCGCCAGGACCCGAAGGTTCTTGGCGGCTCACTATCCTGCAACAGGGGCTTTTGACTCCTGCAGATCTGCTGTCTGAGATGTCCCCACTGTCCTCCAATGAAGTCACACCATCCTTCCAAGGCTCAGAAGCTCTCCCTATTGTCCCCTACAGTTCACTGAGAAGACCTGGATTTGAGCTCGTCACAAAGCCAAGTGCTGTCCCCCTGGGTCACCCTGCCTCCCTGTGAACCCAAGCTTCCTGGGGCTCCCGTGGCACCTCACCAGTGCCCCAACCAGTGAATTGAGCACTGAAGGGTGCAGCAGGGAAGGAGAGCACAGAGCCCTACAGGGTCAGAATTTCTTCCCGGGGTTGTGAAAACGTTGTGTTTAACCCCAGGCATCTTGTGCCCTTCACCCAGGTGCATCCTTCTTCATTCAGCTAAGGCTGGAATCTGAAGTGGATACAAGGACCTTCAAGGCAGGCTGCTTAATGTTCCCAATGGAGCAGTCTTGGGGAATGGGGAACAGGTGTGGGGGTGGGGGGGTAGATTAGGCAGCCTGTGCCTGACCAGAGCCTGCAGGCATATTCCTCATCAACCCAGCTGCCAGGTCTGTAACTAACATGAGGTAATGGGCATGGAGCCAATGGCCCTGAGGTCCTGCCAGGTCCTGCTTTATAATGTTATAACTCTTCTAGTGAGTCCCAAGGGGTCTCTCGGTTTCTCTGTTCTGTTTATTCTGAACATATAAACTAGAGCATTCTTTCAAGGCCTGACTCCACTCCCAAATATGGCACTGGCTCCCAATTCACTCAGGAAAGGTTCTTACATGAACTCCTAAAGCTGCCTAACATGCTTCCCAGCTGCTCTGGTCTTCTCCCTCCTCTCCTCTGCTCCTCTCCTCCCCTCCTCTCCCTCCTTTCCTCCCCTCCTCTCCCTTCCTCTTGTCTCCCCTCCCCTTTCCCCTTCATTCTGTACCACGCTCTTCTGCTCCCTCCATCCACGCAGCACTCAAACATTCCAGACATGCTTCTACATTAGGACCCTTGTATTGGCTGTTCCCTCCATCGGAACATTCTTGTCCAAAATATCTTCACTCCCCCACCTTCTTCAAGCTTTCCTCAAACCTGACCCTCCCTAAGAGACCTCCTCTGATTTAAAACTGCAGCTCCCTCCCAACGCCCATCAGCCAGCCCCACATTTCTTAGCCTTTATCATGTTCTTACATACTATTTATTGTCTGTTCCCCTCCTCAGTCCCACTAGGCTTAGGCTCTGTTGGGATGGTACTTTTCCTTGTTTTGGTCCCTCATACGTTAAAGGCCCAGAAAAGTACCTGTAACAGTAGCTGTGGGACCGCTGAATGCTCCAGGCCTGAGGAAGCTCACCTCTGGTCCACCCAAGGGCCCCCACCATATGCTTAAATGGTTGTCCTGGGCCCCAAACTACACCTTGTCAAAGCAGAACCGGAACCTGAGGGCCCAGGCCAAGTCTCTCGGCACTCACCACCCCACAGCCGGCCTGAGGCCTGACTGTCCCTGTCTCCCCAGTCGCCAGCCCATAATTGCTCAATGCAGCTTTGAACGGGAAGAGCACCCGACTTGGCAGTTTTTGTCCAGAGTCAGGCCTGAACCTGTTCTTTTCTCTCAGTCCATGTTTTGCCCACAGTAGTAGATGAATGCGGAAGAACTATGTCCAGGCCCCACAGGAAGCTCCAGATCTTGCCTCTGTCCTCACACCCAAGCTCACCTACTAGGATCAAGCTTCAGAGAAACCAAGTTCTGCCCACTCACCCCTGTCCATGGCAAGGAAGGCAGCCAAGGTCAGGGTGACCATCCACAGGTGCAGAGCCATGCTGCTTGTGAGGTTAGGTATGACCTCAGCCAACGGTGGCCTGGGCCAAGAGTGAGGTTGGGGCCTATTTATTGCGCTGATCTCCACCCTTATCTTATCTGGGGCCAGTTGGCAGCCAGAGTGTCACCCCAAGTTAATCTCTTCATCCTGACACCTGGAAAAGGCTCACTCAAGGCACGATGCCGACTTTGTGGTGATCCGCGTTGGGGCCAGGGCTAGGGCTAGGGCTGGGCAAGTTTCCAGAGCGAGCAAAGGTTTGGACGGTTTGCAAAGCTGACTCCGTTTATCGATTAAAGCAAGGGCAAGGAATGGAAGTGGAGAGAAACACAGCACAGAGCAGAGGTGGGGCGTTGAGAAGCGAGTGGGGGGCAGCTGGAGGCAGGGGACCGGGAAGGGAGTCGCCGGGGGCTTTGCCGGTGCCACCTCTGCCAAACCCGTGACTCCAGGGAAGCCGCTGTCCTTATTTGGCCCTCAGTTGCGCATGTTCATTTGGTGCTGGTGCTGAGGATTGAAGTTTGTGTCTCGTGAGTGCTGGGCAAATGCTTTTCTGCCAATAGATCCCCAGCCCTCTTTCCCGCTTTGAGACAGGGTCCCCCTTAGCTGCTGAGTCTGGCCTCGAGCTTACTCTGTAGACCAGGCAAGCCTTGAATTTCCTGCCTCATCCTTCCAAATAGTACCACCAGGCCTGCCCAAGTGGGTCTCAGTTTACCCATACACAAAACAAAGATGATAGTTCTGGCTCTACCTATGTCCCAGGGCTGCATTGAGGACAGTGTTGGTGACATCATACAGGAATGTGAAGTGTGGAATAAGGTAAACGTACATAGAACCGATTTTGAAAACTTTTTAAAGAGATGTTAAGAAGATGTGTTTCTATTTTATGCACGCGAGTGTTTTGCCTGTGTATACGTGTGCACCTTGTGTATGTTTGGTGCCCTCAGAGATCAGAAGAGGGTGTTGAAGCCAGGCGTTGGTGGTGCACACCTTTAGTCCCAGCACTCGGGAGGCAGAGGCAGGGAGATCTCCGAGTTTGAGCCAGCCTGGTCTACAGAGCAAGTTCCAGGACAGTCAGGGCTACACAGAGAAAAAACAAAACCAAACCAAACCAACAAAAAAGAGGATGTTGGATCCCCTGGAGCTGGAGTTAAGGGTGGTTGTGAAACACTATGTGGGTGCTGGGACCCACACCCAGGTCCTCTGCAAGAGCAACAAGTGCTCTTAACCATGGATCCATCCCCCCCAGCCCCTCAAATTTACTTTTATTTGGTTTTTTAATGTTTAAAATGTTTTTCTTTTAGGCATGTGGGTGTGTGGGTGTGTGGGTGTGTGGGTGTGTGGGTGTGTGCATGTATGAGTGTAGGGGCCTGTGGAGCGCAGAAGAGAGCATCCGATCCCCTAGAGCTGGAGTTACAGATGACTGAGCCATTTGATATGGGGTGCTGGGGACTGAACTTGGGTTCGCCGCAAAAGCAGTATATGCTCTTAACTAATGAGCCCTCCATATCCACCCCATTTTTTGGGTACCACAAAGTGGATACAACTATCGGACAATATATATATTTTTAATTACAGCATACCGGGGCTGGAGAGACGGCTCAGTGGTTAAGAACACTTACTGCTTTTGCAGAGGACTTGGACTCAGTTCCCAGAACCCACATGGTGGTTCACAACCATCTATAATTCTAGTACCAGGGTGTCTGAAGCTCTCTTCTGACTTCCTCAAACACCAGACATGCGCACATGGTACACATACACATTTTCAGGCAAAACATTCATACACATAAGATAAATAAATCTAAAAAAAAAAGAAATTACATCATATTTCACATATTCTATGGCTTAGCTCCATATCCTGTAGCCTCCTCTCAATAAAACATAGTAAGAGAGACATGCCACCCTGGCTGCAGTGGCATATGCCTGCAATCTCAGCACTTAGGAGACTGGGGCAGGAGGATTGCTGCCAGGTGTTCAAGACCAGCCGGCACTGCAACTGAGACTGTCTCAGAGAATCAAAACTACTGTTGCGCTACAGGTAAACGGGCCTGTAGCCCACGCCTGACAGTACCCGGGGATCACGGAAAGGAAGAAGGAGAAAACAGATTCCATCGAGCTGCCCTCCGGCCCCCATACATACACCACGGTACAAGCACATGTACACACATGCACACAAAAGTAAACAGACAAACAAATAAATAAATGTCAAACCCCCCAAATTCAGCAAACAGAAAACGCTGTAATGCTTTTCAGGTCCTTGGTGCCCATTTGCATTTTCACAGGAAACAGACAAGATTCCTTCCAAGAAGAGCAGTATCTAGAGCCCCCATGCCTATAAAACATATATGAATGAGTAATTTGCTTGTCTGCTTCCAAATAATTTCTGATTTATTAAAAATAACAATTATATCTACAAACGCTTTTCTCAAATGAAGTTAGACCAAGGTTTGTAAGCTCTCCCTGCAGATTACCTTTCCCTGGGGAGAGAATTTAAAAGCACAGGGGCTAACCAGGAGTGGTGGCGCAAGCCTGTCATGCCAGCTGCTTTGTGAGGCTGGAGTAAGAGGGGGCAAGTTTGAGGTCAGCCTGGCACTTTAGTAAGACAGTGTCTCGGGACTCCAGACGGGCTGGTGGTGTGTCTCTGTTGGCAGGCTGTTTGCCTCGTAAGCAGGACGTCCTGGCTCTGCTCCCCAGGACCCCTTCAGACAGGTGTGGTGATGATCATCTGCAGCCCCAGCACTTGGGAGGCAGAGGCAGGAGGATCAGAGGTTCAGCATCATCCTCAGCCACACAGAGAGTCTGAGCCAGCCTGGGATACATGAGACCCTGTCACAAAAAATTATTATTATTGTTATTATTTGGTTATTCTTGACAGGAAATCTCTGTATTATAGTCCTAGCTGCCCTGAAACTTGCATTATAAACCAGGCTGGCCTTGAACTCCCAGAGATCTGACTGCCTCTGCCTCCTGAGTCCTGGGATCAAAGATGTGTGCCACCACCACCTGGCTACATTTTTTTTAAAGACTGGGTTATTGGTAGAGTACTTGTCTAGCATGAATGATTTCCAGGATTTGATCCCTTCAACACTAAATTAAACACATACACATATACAAATAAATAAAAATAAAGCACTGCCTCCCCCCGCCCTCCCCCCCACAGCATTTCTCTGTGTAATAGTCCTGGCTGTCCTGGATCTCACTTTGTAGACCAGGCTGGCCTCGAACTCACGGAGATCCACCTGCCTCTGCCTCCCGGGCACTGGAATTAAGGCGTGAGCCACCACCGCCTGGCACTGCCTTTTCTGTTGGTCATTGTGAAAGAGTTACTTATTTTGAAAGATTCTAAGCCTCAGAAAAGCTGTAAGAATAGTATAATGAGGTCAGGCTGCAGTGGCGCACGTCTTTAATCCCAGCACCTGGGAGGCAGAGCCAGGCGGATCTCTGTGAGTTTGAGGCCAGCCTGGTCTACAGAGTGAGTTCCAGGACAGCCACCAAAGCTACACAGAGAAACCCTGTCTCGGAAAAAACAACAACAACAACAAACTATTAAAAAATGGTGTAATGAATCAATAGGAAGGTTCCTTGGGTGTCATCGGGCAGCGAGCAGATGCCTCTACAGACCAGATTGTGGTAGAGCCCTACCTGATGTTCCCCCCTCTTTAGGGACCTGCATAGGTCCAGGGATGCCTCTGAGGCAGGTGGCAGATGCCCTTCCACTGTTGAGCCAAGCGGCTACTTAAAGACGATTTCCTGTTGTAAAGCAAGGCCCTTGATAGAGGGGACTCAAAACAGTCCTCAAAGTCAGGTCACCCACCTTCCACTCAGGTTTTCCCCGAGCAGCTCCAACCAGGAAGCCGCTGACCCTGCGGTGATGGGAAGGGAGCTCACTACCTACTGGGCTCATCATTGGAAGGTTTTGAACAGAGCTCTTTGCCCAAGAGATCTGCTGCCCTGAGGCTCCTTGGGGGTCTCAGCTTTGACTCTGGCCTCAATCCATCTAAATGAGTCTCATTCACTAATGCATAACCCCTCCATTAATATGTGCTTAAGGAGCAGCTAAGTGCCGAGCTCAAGGCTGAAAGCATCAATACATTAGGGAATAGCTGCAGCAGACCCCTCCCGGCCCAGGAAGCTTGTAGTGCTGTGGGGTGGCAGGTTCTAGCCGTAACGGTACTGTCTTGTTGCGACCACCAGCGCGACACAAAGACACTAATTATGAAAGCTCGGCCTTTAGTTTAGGCTTGTCTCAACTAGCTCTTATAACTTAAATTAGCCCATTTATATTAACCTATGTTCTGTCACGTGGCCTTACCTTTCTTACATCTTGTACCTCCTGTTTCCTCTCCATCTGGCCAGTGACTCCGCCTTTCTTCTCAGAGTCCTCTCTACCGCCGGAAGTCCTGCTTAACCTCTTTATGCCTAGTTATTGGCCGTTTAGCTCTTTATTAAACCTTTCAGGAGGCACCTTGGCAAAGACACATCTTTATAGTGTAGACGAATATTCCACAACATCTAACCAAGCAGTAGACCTGCATGGTCATCATCACAGTACATCCTGTAAATGAGACATCCTTGGAGTCATAGGAGAGACACTAAAATGGGCCTGTCTATGGGGATGGCCCGAGAAAGCCTGGGGGTAAGGCAGACTGTAATTTACTGGAATGGTGCTATGGACAGAGGAAATGACGTGAGAGACCCGAGGCTGGCTTGTTATAAACAAAGAACAGGAAAGCCATAGGCGGGTGGTGGAGTGGGGTGGGGGTGGGGGTGGGGTGGGCGGGGCTGTCTGGCTGAGGGGCGCGGTCGGGTTGGCTGCGGGGTGGGGTGGGCGGGGCGGGGAGGTAAGGTCAGTGAGCTGGGGAGGTGCATGGGATGAGCCTGGGCTACTCCCTGGAGTCCAATCCACCTCCATCTCTGCTGCCCACCCCATGCTCCAGTAACATCCAACAACGGGATCTTAGGAGCTAACCTTGAGCCTTGTTTGCCTTACCGCTGAGTGTGTGTGTCTGCTTCCTCAATCTTTCTTGCTTGTTTTTAGACAGAGTCTCCCACAGGCTAGCCTCAAACTCACTGCAGAGGCAAAGCTGGCCTTGAAGCGTGACCTTCCTTCCTCTACCTCCCAAGTGCTGTGATGACGGGTGTGGGCCACCATGACCAAGGATCCTGACTAGCTCTTGAACCCACCCTCCTCCTCCACATCCACTGGTATTCCCCA